ATTGAAACAATTATCACAAACATATATAAAGATATTTGGAAACCTGGGTGTGAGTTGGTGATTCAAAAAGACATTAAGGGAAACATCACCAAACAGATGAAGAGAATAATATAGTAAAGAGAAAAAAAAAGAAAGAAAAATTAAAAAAAGAGAAAAGATCTCAATCACAATAACTCCAATAATGAAACATCTTCCTCAACTTTGAGTTGGATAAGTTGGGTAGATTCTTGGATTAAAAAAGGAAGTCAATGGGAAATATACGTATCTTGACAAGATGTTTTACATAGTCAAAGAAATGGGGTGCAGTTGCTTAATTCTCTAATTAAAAAAGGAGGCCTCATGAGATTTTGTATGACATCAAGTCGCTCCAAACGAATACCATTCTATGGTAAAACAGGGGAAAAAAAAAAAAAAAAAAAAAAAAAGTTGTGCATTGTAGAAGTCACAAATTTGTGACTTATGATATTATTAATAAATAAGACTTTTGGCATGTGAATACAGTTTATGGGATATGTATTACATATTTCTAATCAATTTTAAATTAATAAATGTCACAACAAAAAAAAAAATTTTTTTCCAAATTAAAAAATTAATTAAAAATGCCACCAAAAAGAAAACATAACCAAAGAAATAAAGAAAATACATCTGGAGCAGTTGTTAGGTAGGCGTTTATCTGTGGTGGTGGTTATTGCCACTCGTCGTCACTCTAGTTGCTTTATTAAATATTTATAAACTTGATTTTTTTTTTATTAGAACCGATGATGAAGTTAGTGATGATGAATTTGGTGATGATGTATGGATCCAGAAGTTTGACGAGGTGTCATCTTCTGAGAAAGCTACTTTAATTTTCTAACTGATTAACTGATGCCCATCAGAAACAATAAATTTAATAAAAGAAGTTTTGATTGGAGAGGAGGAGGATGAGGCAGTTGAGGAGATGATGGTGATGATGATGATGAGGAGGATGATGAGGATGAAGTGCTAGAGGTGGTAATGGTAGAAGATAGTGATGGTGGTGAGGAGGGTGAGGAGGATGAGGGTGAGAGTGAGGATGATGAAGATGGTGATGAGGAAAATGATGGTATTATTGATATAGGGGAGAGGTGGAGGGGGTTTAGATCACCCTGGGGAATTAGGGATATAACCAGGCCTTGTTGAATATATTTGATACAATGCCTGCAAAAATAACCATCTGAAAATATTGGAATATT